AAGTTAATTCATAATTCTACCCCTCAAAATAACTATTTTTAATATCTTGGTGTTTATACACATGCACAGAGGTTAATTCACAAAACCAAGTTAATTTTTGATTTGGCTTAAAGAAATATGTCAATGGGAAAGGATAAAAGTTTTTTAAGCATAATTTAGCACTTCATTATGCCAAAAAAATGTGGTCTTACAAATAAAAAGATATTTTATATCAAGAACTTAAAAATTTCATGATTATTGCATACTAAGTACTAACCAACAAGCCTCTGGATTTTTTTTTCAGGAATGTATAAAGGGCTTATGACAACAAATTCAAATCTAATTCTGCAAGACTTTACAAGAAAGCTTTAACGGTTCCCATCTGCAGTAAATGCAAAATAAGTGTCAATGCTCTTGAGGAATTATTGTGTACACACACACACAAAATATTGATTACTTGGGCAAAATGATTGGTAGGAAGTAAGAAACACACTGAATTACTGATGCTGACCAGGTCAATACTCCTCTTCTTCAATGTTTTTCCTACAAAGTGAAAATAACATTTCCTATCTCCCACTTCCTAAGAGCATGATACAGGCAGGTAAAATCCATTACACATTTTAACCTTATACTCTTGAGATTTTTTAAAGATGCAATCACCTATTTGATATTTCTTTCTGCTAGATAAACAGTATTTCTACTTTACAAGCACACACTCAACCAAGAATGAGTTTTAAAATTTTTCAGGCCCTCTCTCTCTCTCTCCCCAGTCTAGAAAGGACAACTGATACAGCCATTTCCAATCTACCTTTTGATTTTGCCCCCTTTTAAAAAATTTCTAGTGTTTAAGTATTTCCTGATACAAATATTACTTTTATTGTATATAGCAACTTCCGTTAAGGTGTGTCATGCAGACACCACTTTCTTCTTTTTGCCTAGAATCCTCTCCCCCACTCTTCATCTATAAAGTCCTCTCTTCTTCTGGTTCTCAATACAATTAGCCTTTCCTTAATAGTTGCCTCTGCTGATATCTACAAGTCAATTTTCCCAACTCCTTATTCTTTTAACCCCATTAGAATAATCCTTCAAACATTCGCCTCAGTTCTCCAAGAGAACTGAAACTAAATCTGACTTGTTCCCTTAGTGATACACAGCATACAATAGTATAGGTCTAGTATCTCACATAACATATGACTGGTTTATAACCGGCAATCGATATGTGTGATATAAATAACTCCCTGTGGTTGCCTACTGAGTGGTTAATAGTGTCAGGCTGCGATATGAACTAATGACATGAACAAATAGTGGTTGCTTCATTTCCTGGGCCAACATTTCCAAATTTAAGACAAGTAGTTTATCTTAGCCCAATAAGAAACAGATTAATGTATGGCAAAGCTTAACCATGTGGTAAACTTCATGGTTAAAGAAATATGATAGGATTAGATGACAGAATATGATGGGCCCCCTTTACTCATGAATTTGTACCTGCTCTGCCATCCCCCTGTGCTTTGGTAAGCATCTAAAAACACTTATACAGCAAATGGTACAGTTAAGCATGAGGAGCACTTGGAAGATTTGGACCCGGCATGTCAGCTGGCATTAAGGACACGAATCCTCAGCTGTTGCCCTTTTTTCCCCTTACAAGTAAGTCCTGTCACATAGCCCCACATGAAGGAGGAGAATCAGGAGAAATTTCAATTTGATTCTGATTGCCATATTAAGTGATTCGAATTATAGTTTCAGAAAGTCCCTAAATTATTTCTCCACGTGTAATTTCTCTATATAACTAATATTGTCTGTGTTCAGTAGGACTGACCATTTCAAAAAGACCTCAGTGCTATAAACTGAAAACATGTTTAGACCTTCCTTCTATAACAAACCTGACCCCAAACACAAAGAATAATGACTACGTAAGAAAGAGGTTGTATATCTCTCTCTTTTGAAATCTGAGGCTGAGTTATTTTGTACATTGTTTTTTTTTTTGTTGGTTTTAGTTCTTGATTTTTATACAAATAAGTTTTATTTTAGAGTACTTTGAGGACAACAAAAAAAATTATGAGAAAAGGCCAGAGTTCCCATGTAATGCACACCCAGTTGGCTCTACTGTTAGCACAACATATTTATTATTACTAATGAACCAGTACTGATACATGTCTTTGGCCAAAATCCATGCCCTGTTCAGATTTTTACCTAATGTCTCCTTTTTATTCCAGAATCGCTTCTATAGCACTAGATTACATTTACCTACCAAGTTTCCTTATGCTCCTCTATGTGCTGAGAGTTTCTCAGATTATCCTTCGTTAATAACCTTGACAATTATAAAATGTTCTTGTTAGATGTTTTGTAGAGTACCCCTCAGTTTGGATCTGACTAGTTTTTTTCTCATAATCAGATTGGGTTTTGGCTTTGGGGTATCAAATGCTACTTGAGCCACATTGCCAAGGTTAACATCCACAGTAATGTCATGTTGATAGTATGTACCCTGATATGATCAGAATAGCACTTTTCCTTTGCAGTTTCTCCTTTTAAGAAGAAGAAAATTCTACACCAAAATATTTTATGTAAAACACAAGAAAAAAAAATATATATATACATATATAATATTTTTAAATAAATATATACTATAAGTTTTTCCATATGATAAATATAAAATATATTAAATTATGTATATGCGTATACATACCTACTCTTATGATATATATCCAGTAACAAAGGAATTTAGGGCTATAGTGCAATCAAGCCATTTGTCCCTTTAATATAAAAATAAAGTGTTCCAATCTCACATTTTGAGTATTTTGAGTTGTTAAGATGGAAATTATTGCTCTTTGGTGACATTATCAATGTAAAACATATTTTATGTGAATGGATGAATCTATTTTTTATTGTATCAATTTCTTTTCTGAAGGTAAGGTGGATTAAAACATTTTTGCTCAGAAGACATAAAGCTCTTTTACTTGTCAACCCTGTTCTATATCTTAGGAGATTTCTGCATAGGAATCAAAGTATTATTATAGGCCGTGAATTAAAGCAAGAACATATCTGTGGCTCAGTGACTGCAGAAAATTTCAATCTATCCTTTGAAAATTCAAAGGAAAATAAAGTGGTGGACAAATTTCTGCTATGTATAAAAATAATGTTCCTATTATAAGCATAGCATTATTTTAACTGTACTCTAATTACTTAAATATGAGATAGTATTCTTAGGAAAAACAACATATTCAGATTCTCATAAGTGTCCGGTATATAGGAAAAGACTATAAACCACTAACTTATGGTAATGAGTGAGTCTAGTGCAGAGCAACAAGAGGGAGGGAACTAATCAAAAAGCTTTTCCTTAAGCCAGGTATGAAAAGCACCACATGATCTCACTCATACATGGAATATAAAATTGGTCTCTTGTTGAAACTGAGAGTAGAGAGATGGCAGAGGCTGGGAAGAGAATCAGGGAGGGAGGGATGTGTACTAAGTGCAGGCAGATGGGGGTGAGAATTTCTAGTGCACTCCTGCTAACTAGATGTGTGCCCTACAACCCATAAAGCTAGAAGAGTGGATTCTGAATGCATTCACCATGAGGAACTGATGAAGTTGGAGGAGACAGATGTGTTTCACCTGATTTTCACCATTTTTCACCAAATGTATATACATGTATTGAAACAGCACATGGTATTCCATTGATAGGCACATAAAAATGTACCAGTTAAAAATAAATTTAATTTAGAATGTTACACCAAAATCTTCCCTGAACATATATGAATTAAATAATTCATTATATTAGTCCACCACATAAGGAAAAGAGTGATAAACTATGGGTTAGTTGTAATTTAGGTGGATTATTACTAATATAAGCATCTTAATCTCTCTTGGTTATAATATACAGAAAGAGTAAGCTTCTCTGAGTTGGAGAAATCTTTAACACCAGACCAACATAAAGTAGATGATGAATCTATATCTTTAAACACAACTATATTTAAAAATTAGAATATATAATATGTATAGTTATATATGAGTATATGCATGTGTATGTGTATACATATCTGTACACTTATACATAATTTGTAAATTTGCTCTTTTAAAATCATGAAATAATTGTTCTAATTAATAACTTGTTTATAGTAATTAATTAAATAGCTCACTAATTTTAAAAAGTGAGGGTGGTACTACACAATCAATAGCTTAGAATCAATTATAACCCCCTCTCTGGCAGAATTTGCCACTTAAAAAGTTATAAAAGATCCATTTTATCTGTCTCCCCAATAGGGATAAAATATTTAGATGACAGATAAATAATTAAATGTTATGCCATTTAGAAAGTAAAATGGATAAGTGTCTACTTTGAAAGCTACATGCTGTTAGAAAACTTGTTATATAAGAAAGCAAATCTTGCTGAAATTTTTATCTCACTTAATATTTTTCATTATATTCTAACATGAAAATTAAATTATAGGAAATAGTTTTGAGTCATTTTTCTTTAGCATAGAGTTTATTATGATTAGAGAGTCAGAGTTTGTGCTCCCTAGAAGGAAAAACACTTTAAGATTTGAAGAGCTTTCCTTATACGTAGGCTTTTTATTTTTAAACCCCGTCGCCTCTTTGCTGACCAGCAATTTCTTGCAACTTATGGCCAGGAGGGAGGAGCATGAGAAAAGGAGCTGGGTGAAAGTTGGTGACACTCCCTGCCAAAATTCCAAGTTGAAATTGAATCCTCCAGTGAAGTTTCCTGGGCATGGGAAGAAAAAAAAGAAAAAGATTTACAACTTCAACAGAACTGTAATTCTACCAAGAAAAGCTGTGTCAATCTACTTTGCTGTCACCAAAGGATCTGAAGCTGGCTTTGTCAGACTTCTTTCTTCTTTATATATGGCGGTGAAAAAAAAAATAGCAAGAGGAGTTTAAAAAAATTGATGAAGCCCTGACCCTTTAGATTCCATTTATAGTCTGAGCTGAATGCCATCCCCCTTGACTAGAGAACTGTCCAATCCAGCCGCATGTGTCAAGGTTCTGTTAGGCACTAAGTGAAATATATATGCATGCCCTTATACCGTTTAACACTCTGGGTCCACCTTCAAGACTCTGGGCTGTGGATCAAGCGAACCACCACTCCTCTTCCAAGTATCATTTTGACAGGTTCTTTTGGAGGAGCTCCTTCTTTTTTTAACCCATCCTTTTAAACAAAATGGCACCAAAGAAGGACGTGAAGAAACCTGCTGCTGCTGCTGCCCCTGCCCCTGCCCCGGCACCTGCGCCGGCCCCAGCCAAACCCAAAGAAGAAAAAATCGATCTCTCTGCCATTAAGGTAACTAAAAGGGTGAATTGTTTGGTCACTGAAACATCTTTCAACAGTAGGGAACTCCAGGAACTTGCAAAGAGGTTTATTTTTCATGGAGAGGAATGGTATTATTCAGTGAAATGGTAGAATTTGGAAGAAGAGAATCCTGCTTTAAAAAAAAATAATAAACAGTAGCATAAAATTTGATCATATGTGGAAACTATGCCTGCTCTATTTTTTTTGCTCTCTGGCGTCCATATTCCCCTACATTATCAAAATACAATGAAAAGTATGTAAGTGTAAAGGTGTTGCATTTACGAATATTTAAACCAGCATTTTTAAATAAAACCTCTGTGAAAATTGGATTCCTTATATTAAAACTACATCAAAAAGAAAGTTTTAGCCTCTGCTTGTTTCCAGAAGTTTAAAGACAGCTGATGACCCAGTTGTCCGGGATGTATTTACTTGACAGCTGCTTATTTCATCTGAGAAAGAAGATTTTTTGCAATTCAAGTCAATTCCCCTTTCAGCTTTGCTTAATAAAATTTGCTACAACACTAAATGAGATCTCAGTGCAGAAAATTATGCACTCAAGTGTTTCAGTGACTATAACTGTCATCTTGTTTATTTATATACAGTATTTAATTCAGAATTTGTGAGTTGCTTCTAAATGAAACTAACCAAAATTATTACAAAACACGTTGGTTGTACAGCTTTTAGTGTATGTCTTTTGAGTTTTTGCATACTGATCTTGAACTAAGGAAAATGTGATTGATTTTTGTGTCAACACTTTGCTGTGATCAAAGTTCTCAGCTGCCAAAAGATGACCTGCTTTGGGAAAAATGATGGAATGGATGTGCCTGTTACTACTCGATGACGTGCACCTTCCCCCTTTTCACTGTGCTCTCATTGGTCCAACTGACACTTTGAAAATGCTCATATAAGCAACTCAGCCTTATATGGAAAACTAATGAGTGAAAGTGCCTATGAGGTAATCTTTTCATGGAAGCCAAAAGTTCTGTATGTAGTAAATCTAAATTTTACTAACTTAATATTTATTACTTGCAGCTATAATGCCGGCCTACAAATAAACACTTAATTGCCTGTTTTAGTATAATGAGATTTTCAAAACATCCCTGAAATAAAGGTTGAATTAGATCACCCTTGGATACATGTGATAAATAGATATAATTTTAGAGCATTCTTATTAAATATAACATTTTATATTTCAAAGTAATAAAGTATTACAAATATTTAATCTGTAGTTTTTAGGTATATGAAGTCATATTTGGAAAAAGATGATCATAGATCTAATACTGATTAGGAACTATTCTTAATGAATATCCATTTAGGAGGAGAAATTCATGCCAGATCTTCTAATAAGTGTTTTTCTACCTTGAGGACTACATGCATACAGTTCATTAAAAGGAAACCAAATTTTTCATTTACAGCAATCTTAGTTAATATATCATTATAGATGCACTCTGACTTCATAATACAATGAGTGTGATTATAGCCCCTACAATAATTCTGATTGTGCGTAGTTTTTAACTCTCCACTCCATAGTAATATTAGAGTGTCAAAACTATTCTTCTTTATATTTATTGTGATTTATAAGACTATTATCTCTTTGCATCTGGGATTATAAACTTCTGGAAAGGAAAAAAATGTGTCTTCTTAAGAAGAAAATGAAGTATTCCACTAATGAAAACAGGCATTAATTTTCCTCCTTGAGGAACTATGTCAAAATAAATAAATGCATAAAGACTGTGTTTGGCAGGTGAGAGATCTCCAAGAAAAGACAAAACATCACTTTTGCAATCCAGAAATTAAGCCAATTATTTGTTCTAGTCAACAGAGCAGTGACTGTTCGGAGTCCTGAAAATTGTTTTGTCCTTCCATTTATATTTGAATTAATCCTACCACGAGCTAGTACAACCAAGCAGAAGAAGGAGACACTCAGGAGAGTCCCTGTGAGAGCATGGTGTGCTCCCTCATCATTATTTCATTGCAGAAAAAGAGATATGATAGGTTCTGATAAGGGACACAAATTTATAAAGAGCAGTTAAATGAATCTTGAAAAAGCAGGAAGATGTGACCTTTCATCTTTCATTCAGGGGGCCTTTTCCTAATGCAAAGAAGAAAAATGGAAAGAGGTAATTTAAATGCCCAACAACTTACATTCATCAGTATAAAAGCAGTGCACTTTTGGAGGTGTCCTGTAAGAGCCAAAGAATGTGGCGTAAGTTGAGAATTTTAAAAAATTAAATGTCATACCATTGGTTATACCATTTAGAAACTATATTAAAACATTTCATGTTATGATGCTTTTAATTAATTAATGATGTTCCTTGATATATTACCTTACATAAATTATAAACTTTTTTCAATCAGAGAAAATAAACTTTAAAGAGATTAAGAGCTGTTATATGCATTCATTAACTGTCTGAAATTTGATAAAGAAAAAAACTTAATTGCACTATAAAACTTTCTTCCAAAAATCATGTAAGATTAGAAATCCAAGTGTCCTTTGGACTTTGAGCAATTCTGAAGTTTACCTATCTTTATGTAGTATATAGCAATAGTAAAATTTAATTCCTCAATATTATTCCCAGCTAAGACCAATTTCCCATCTTAAAATACACAACATTCAATGACCACAGTTGACTCCTAAACTTTGAATAATCTTGGATATTATTAGCTAGCTTTATCTGTTTCTTAAATGTGCTTTCAACTCTGATTTCCTGGTTTGTTGATTATTTGTTTGGAATGTAACCTACAACCTTTGAAATTCTCTGAGGGAATGTTTACCTGACATTCTGTCCCCATGGATTTTTCTGTGAGTACCCTTTCAAAAACAAATTTCTGCTGATATTTTAATATTAAAGTTACTGTCTTTAGTGTTTCTAATCATTCTTTGCCTTCAGAGAACTGAGACTTAAACCACAACACCCAGACTAAAAGAACACTGCCTGACAAAACCACCACCCTAGGAATTAAAACCCACCATCAGTTTGGTTATGGGTGCAAACACAGGAATGAAAATAGTTGTAACCAAGTGAAATAATGGAGGTAAATAAGTGACAAAATGACTACATCCTACATTTCAAAAGGTCATCAATATCTATCTGGATGTTTTGCATGATGCATGCATTAGCAGGAATGTCAGAATTGCTGCAAGGTGGGGACTTTGAGCCGTGTGTCTCGTTGTGCTGCTTAAATCTTCATTGTCATTGTACTCATCACTCAATCAGGTCATCCCTGACTAGACACTGCAGGCGATGTTACAAAAAGAGGTAAGATACAGAATGCATTGACAGAAGCTCTCCTGAATAACAAATCTCAAAGAAAATTGATCCCAGGCTTGGAAGACTTACACTCAAAAATTAATGGATAAGGTGGATATCTACTGTTCCCAATACATACCCCTATATGTATTCAGTGGAGGCAGATAGTTATGTATGTATGGTGACTTGTTTGGGCCCAGGTATGAAAATGTATTGTGTTCATTCATAATGATTTTTTTTCTCATTTCTAACAAGGGTAATATAAACCTAATCCCATTAGAAGAATTCCTGGGGATGTTGAACAAAGATACGCTCCATGAAAGACTAAAAAGTATACAGCTATTTGTATTAATAACAACAAGTCCTCATTGTGAATTTATTCTATGCCATATTATTTAACCCCCACAACATTAAACTGGAATGTTTTTGTCCTCACTTTCCAAGTAAAGAAACTCAGAGTACACAATGCCTATGATCAAATGACTAGTTAATGATGAACCTAGGATTTAACTTAGCACATCAAAACCAGAGTTAACTGTGTTAACTGTATCCTAAGCTACCTTTAGTTTCTGAAGAGTTAGTTGCTGTTTTAAGATGCTATAAAAGAGCCTGTTTTGTTGCTGTTGTTTTGTTTTGTTTTATGTTGCTCTTGAATGAAGTAAAGCTGTTCTTGTGTTGCTCTGCACAGTCCTGTGTAGCCAGAAGAGGGGGTGATGACAGACCCCACATTCCAGCAAGTTCAGTTTTTCTTTATCCTGCACCTGTTGCTGACAACTTGGGTGTTCTCTTTTATAGAACAAGGCTGAAATCTTAGGAACTTAGAAGTGGTCCTAGTCACTTTTTCTCAGCTTCCTATAAAATGTTGTAAACAGAAATGGATATTTTAAAAATACTGTTAAATGTAATGAAACATTGAATTTTAAGATATTTTGTTTTTACTTAATTAAACACACCCACATATCAAACATGATCTTCAAGTTTTGCCATCAGGTTAATATTCTAAGAAGAGTATGAAATCTCAATTTTGATTACAAATAAATAACATAATTTAAACCAGAAATCCCAATCTATATTGTTTGTGGTAATATGCAATGCCACATATATAACATGGATTGATCTTTAACTAGTTTGAGAAAAAGAACTAGGAAAAAAAACACATACAATTTCTAATTAGGAAAAAAATGAGTGAAAACATTAAGTTATTTCTAAGTTTGTTTTATATAATTCAAGTTTGTTTACTTTGGCCGTTCAATAGAAAAATGAATTTCTAATACAACTTTGATGTGCACGAATTTTAATATTCACCCATTTGCAGTATAATTATAACCTTAGGAGCAAATAAAAAATGATTTAAGTCTATCACTAGGTATCAGTATCACATTTCATCTTTACTATATCTCGACTATAAATGAAGGAAACAGGCGGAACAGAGTAAGACAATATTAAAGGGCATTTTGTAGCTCTCCAGAATAACATTTTTAATTATAGAGAACTGAATAATGTCTCTGCAGAGCAAAATGCAGTTTGCAAAGGAAGAGATATGTTCACCTACAAATAGTGAATAACAGTTTTCGTTTTAAGATAAAGTAATCTTTGCAAGACAAGGAGACCACAAAGTGACAGTGCCAAATTTAGCTCTTGACATTTCAGTGCTGCAAATGAACCCCCTGGCAAGTTGTCTTTAGTAGTCATTCCATAATTACGCAGTATTAAGCACCATCTGACTCATGGAAATTGTGG